AAGGGAACTTAGAATGTTTTTAAATTACTTGGACTGTAATTTGCTGGTCTGGTCTGATCCGGTCTGATCCGGTCTGGTCTGATCTGGTTTCTTTGTATTTTTATATATAACTACCCAAGTCTGGTCTGATCTGGTCTAGTCTGGTCTGGGACAAATTATAGTCGAAGTAAAAACATCCTTAATACGAAGAACTATCTAAAAAGAAGAGACGGTAGAGTAAAAATGATACAAAATTTGGTATGAATAATCATAGTCGGACGGATCAAAAAGGAAAGATGAGACGATTTTAGTGGGACAAAGGACATATATTATTTAAGTCATATATTTGGTTTTATATTATTTATTTATAATTTTTATACGTGTATGTGTATATATCTTTATATTATAAAAAACTAGATTAGCTACTAGTTTGCCTTTTTTGAATAAAATAACGACAATTGACTCCCGGCACTTAGCTTGCCCCACTGATTTTGATGGTTTGCCTTCCGGGATAAAAAAAAGTATATTATAAAAAACTAGATTAGCTACTTAAAATTTAAGAATGACTGCATTGTTCTAAAATGTATAAAACAATGAGTGAGGTGTAAATATATTAAATAGCTAATGTTAACGGCAAATTTTAACGGAAGGACTCGATTAATATAGATGAAATAGATTAAGGACTAAAATGGTAGATTTAATAGTTTGAGGGCCAAAATGATACGGTGATGATAGTTCAAATATTCCATAAAATATTTGATAAAATATGTGTGACTCTAAATCATTCCTATTATATTTTTTACTTTTTCAATTCAATATCAACAACATAAATTTACTTTTCTTAAAAATGTTAGTGGGACGAAGGTAGTATCATTTAGCTATTTTATAATAAAGTATTAATTAATATATTTTAAAGTATAATAAAACCGGTCTAATTAATATGGTTTAAACCGGAACAATTCAGTTTTAATGGAAACCGGACCAGAAATCAGAATAGTAATTTTTTATAACCGGAAGTCGGACCAAATAGCATTTCAATCCAATCTGATTCCTGTTTATGGTCTGATTTTTTTCGATTTTTGGGAATAAGGCTTAGATGTTTTCGTTTCTGTACTCGCCTATCTAGCTCGCTTGAATGAAGCTCGGTTTACACATTTTAAAAAAGGAGAAAGTAATTTGAATATCCCAAACTTTGTAGGGATGTTAGATAAGTACCCAAACTTGCATATGTAACATATACCCAAACTCTATATAAAAAGTTATTTTACCAGCATGATCATGTTTTTTTAAACGTAATTTTATGGTGTTAAGTACCTAATTTAAAATACACAAAATATTTATGAGGATGCAATTAAAATTAAATATTATGTATTTCACAAATGAAATTATAGAATGTTAACGATATTCTAACAAGGTTTAGCGTATTTTAAGTTATGTAATTAATCCAAAAAATTTGTACTTGTGAAAAGAATATACAATTATGGTACAACAAAAATTAATTTATATATAAAGTTTGGAGTAAATGAATTAAAACTCGCCGGCCCTAGCGAGAGCTTGGGTGCGGACAATTCTTTCTTTCGCCGCCTTCTGTGCGGCGTAGCTCTTCGACGAATTCCTGGCGTCATGGCACGGCTTGGTCGATTGAGAAGGAAGGCAATGGAGGACGAGGCGGACGATGGGTGCAGAGATGATCGAGATCTGGGAGATAAACAAGTGGGAAGGTTTGCGGGCAGATATGGAGGTATGGGTACTGGGGGGTCGAAGACGAGCTATTGATCGAGGATGAAGAGGAAGGCGATACGGCGACCGAGGCAGGAAAGAAGGAAGAATTTCCGGTTGTGGGGACGATTCTCACGGATAAGTTCATTCGGTTTTCTTTCTTCAGGGTTTTCATGGCTGATTTGTGGCGTCCGGGAAAAGGTATCTCAATACAGGAAATTGGTGAACGGAGGTATCTATTTAAATTCTTCCATTCTATTGATATGAACCGTGTCGTGGATAATGGAACCTGGTTGTTTGACCATAATTTGATTGTGTTAAAAGCTGTTAAATCGGGTGATATCCCGACTAAGGTGCTGTTCTGTTCGTCTTATTCTTATTACTTATTGCTTATTCTTATTTTATTCAGATCAGATCAGATCAGATCAGAAAAATTCAGATCAGATCAGATCAGATCAGAAAAATTCAGATCAGATCAGATCATATCAGATCAGATCAGAAAGATTCAGATCAGATCAGATCAGATCAGAAAGATTCAGATCAGATCAGAAAGATTCAGATCAGACCAGATCAGAAACATTCAGATCAGATCAGAAAAGTTCAAACATGATTTATCACTTTTATTATTATATTAATTATTATTATTATTATTGTTATTACAATTATGATTATTATTATATAATTATTATTAATAATATTAATAATAATATGATAACAAAAATAAGATATTAATAATAGTTATAATATTTTAATATAATAATAGTAATATAAATGTAATTATTAAGAAGACTATTATTATTATTATTATCATCATCATCATCAACATCATCATCATCATCATCATCATCATTATCATTATCATTATCATTATCATCATCATTATTATTATTATTATTATTATTATTATTATTATTATTATTATTATTATTATTATTATTATTATTATTACAATATAATAATAATAATATGATTAATGTTAATATAATATTATATTATAATTATATGTTATTATAATTACAATTATAATTCTTATAATTATAAGTATAATCAATTGTATTTATTATAATTATATCTATAAATATTTATAATTATAATTGTAATTAATTATAATTATAATAATTATAATTATAATATAATATTATAATAATATAATACTAATTATAATAATAATAATCATATTATTATTATATTATTGTAATAATAATATGAATATAATAATATCATTATTATAATATTAATTGTATTTATATTACTATTATTATATTATAATATTATAATTAATGTTAATATAATTATAATTATTATTATTATTACTATTGTAATTATTTTATGGAGTAATTATAATAATATTGATAACTATAGTTACAATTATAGAGATAAAAATTGTAATTATAATTACAATTATAATTAAAAATATAATTACAATTATAATTATATCTATATTTATAATTAGTGTAATAAGTATAAATTTTTTCATTTTAAATTTAATTTTAATTATTATTATTATTATTATTATTATTTTTATAGTTACGATTATAATTATAATTTTATTTAAATTATATTTGTAATTGCAATTATAATAATTATAATTATAATTATAATTATAGAAATATTCAAATCAGATCAGAAAGATTCAGATCAGATCAGAAGGATTCAGATCAGATCAGAAACATTCAGATCAGATCAGACCAGATCAGAAACATTCAGATCAGAAAGATTCAGATCAGATCAGATCAGAAAGATTTAGATCAGATCAGATCAGATCAGATCAGAAAGATTCAGATCAGATCAGATCAGATCAGAAAAATTCAGATCAGATCAGATCAGAACTTAAAAAATTCAGATCAGAAACATTCAGATCAGGCGAAGAGAACAGCTTCTAAGATGTTGTTAGATGTGTTTGAGATCTGGGTACAGGTTCATAATGTGCCGTATAGTTTTGAAAATTTGGGAACGGCAAGGAGAATTGGGAATCTTTTGGGGGAATTTGTTACCTGGGATGATAGAAAATCTGATAAAAAAGGGGAGAATTATATGTGCGTGAGAGTTCGTATGAACACAGGTAAATCTCTAAAGATTGGGACTACCCTAAGAAAAAGTAAAGGAGAAGGGTATTGGGTTGATTTTAAGTATGAGAAGCTGCCACATTTCTGTTTTTGTTGTGGTGTGATTGGACACGCTGAGAAGGTTTGTCCTCGGTTATATGAAAATGAGGGGCAAGTTGTAGCTAGACCTTTTGGGTCGTGGCTCAGAGCGAGTGGATGGAGATCGAAGCCAAAGATGGGTAGCAAATGGCAGCTTTCGGAAGAGAGCTCCTCAGGCGGTGGTAAGCGCGTGGCAGGTACCATGAGGTCGGTACATGAGATGGGCCCAGAGAAGACAGGAGAGAGCGCTCAGGCTGAAATGGGGATTGCTCTGAGTCTAGAGGTGACACAAGAGGAAGGAGTGCCAAGAGAGCTAAAGAGAAGACGCACTTGGGAGGACCGGGCTAGGGAGGATGCTGCAAAGGAGGCTATGGTGCTTGACTTCCCAAAAAACGGGGTTGGGGCGGGTGCTGGACTCCAGCCCCGCATGATGATCTGATGATGGTTTCGGCTATTTTCGTTGAGAAACTTATTTTCTTCTGTCGTTTTGCTTTATTTATTTCCCACGTTCTGGATGTTGTTTTTGTTTTGGTTGCGCTGTGTTTTCCCAACGAAAAGACTTGTGAAACTAAAACAGGAGATGAGGAGTCGTGTCTGCAAGTCATAGGCTATGTTATGCCCAAAGCGGGATCAGCGAATTATATGGCTTCTACAGAGGTGATTAATTCAGAGTCTGATCCTTGGGCGGACGGTAGACAGGAGACTTGTTGTCACTTTGTAACCTGTTTTGGTTTGGTCCGGTTGGTCTGTTTGATTATGATAAGTTAAGCCAGTTTCGTTCAAAAAAAATATAAAGTTTGGAGTATACATACCACATATGCAAGTGTGATGTACTGATCTCACACCTCTTTAAAGTTAAAGATATTGAAAATTACTACCTCCGTTCTCTTTTAATTGCAACATTGGACTTTTGCACTATTTGCATATTCTACTTTGACTATATTTTATTAATTAATGTATTATGAGTTAAATTTTTAAAACATATTGTTAAATTCTTTTCATTATAAATTTTCAAAATATGAATCTTTTATATTTTTACTAATACGGAATGAGAGATATTAATGGTCAAACTTAAAGTTAAATTGAGGATATTAATAGTGTGCGTTGGGAAACTATTTTCCCCAAGAGAAAACTTTGGCAAAACTGGTTTTAATCTTGAAGGACGGGGACCAAACTACAATTGTCCATTCATTCATTTCTTGGAGAGAAATTCATTCTTCTTTTCTATCGTTCGTTTTATTTATACGACAGACAGCTCTCTTCTCCATCTCCGAGTTAAAACCCTAGCTAAATCTCCCTTTCTCTACCAACTACCATGGGTAGCCAGCAAGCTGTTTCATTCCTCACAAACATTGCCCGCGCCGCCTTCAGTCTTGGAGTAGGCGCGACGGTTCTCAATTCTTCGATGTACACTGTCGACGGCGGCCAACGCGCCGTGCTTTTTGATCGATTTCGTGGAGTGATCGACCAGACCGTCGGCGAGGGGACTCACTTTCTTGTACCCTGGCTTCAGAAGCCGTTCATCTTTGATATACGCACCAGGCCCCACACGTTCTCATCCGTCTCAGGAACCAAGGATTTGCAAATGGTGAACCTTACCCTGCGGGTTCTCTCTCGCCCTGAGGTCTCTCGCCTTTCTGAAATTTTCAAAACTCTAGGTCTGGAGTACGACGAGAAGGTTCTCCCTTCCATTGGAAACGAGGTTTTAAAAGCTGTCGTCGCGCAGTTCAATGCGGACCAGCTGCTCACTGAACGTCCCCAGGTTTCTGCTTTGGTCAGAGAGAGCTTAATCCGAAGGGCCAAAGACTTCAACATTGAATTGGATGATGTTGCCATAACCCACTTGTCATATGGCCCGGAGTTCTCAAAGGCCGTAGAGCAGAAGCAGGTGGCACAACAGGAAGCTGAGCGGTCTAAATTCATTGTGATGAAGGCTGAGCAGGAGCGCAGGGCTGCCATTGTTCGTGCTGAGGGTGAGAGTGAGTCTGCTAAGTTGATTTCGGATGCTACTGCTGCAGCTGGTTCAGGGTTAATAGAGCTTAGAAGGATTGAGGCCTCTAAGGAGATTGCATCAACCCTGGCTAAGAGTCCTAATATTCAGTACTTACCTAAAAACAATAATTTGCTTCTTGGGCTCAGCCGTTGAGCAGGTAATGAGTTGCTCACTTTCTGATTTATAAAAAATATTTGGTATTGCTTTCTTAATACTGAGTCGGTGTTTCTATCTCTTTTCCTATAAATTGGTCACATAGGAATTGAAGAGATTCAGATGAAACAAAATGAGTTAGTTATTTAAGTTGCACGCATTTCATTATTTATAGATTAAGGCAGATGTCACCCTTTTATCTTGGATACGTATTTTTGTTTCTATAGAGAAGTCATTTCAATTGACTAAAATTGTCTTGCGTCTTTTCCTCTGTTAATTACATTTCCTCTGTATAAGTTTACTATCTACATCTGAGATGTTCTTAACAAATCAATGTACCTCTTGATAGGAAGGGGAGCTTCCTACCTCCACTCTACCAAATTGTATGAACTTTTAAGTCATAATAATTGATTTCATTTTCCAATTCCATACTGGTATATACCTCTGTTGGAGGGTTTTCACAATGTACTTTGACCTGCCTGACTTAAATCATGCTCAAAATCGTAGGCTCTAAGCAATTGAGATCACCCCATCACCATCTTTAATCTTCTTTTTTATTTTATGTGTCATTGTTGCACTAATTGCTTTTCCATTGGTGTGGTAATGTTTTACTGCAGCATCTGTTTGTGACACAAAAAGGTTGAATTTGCAGCTTGAACAAGTCTATGTAGTTACTTTTGTTTTGCTTATTTGGGATGACTCAGCCCATTACAGTCAACTACTCCGTATGTTTTTATAACTGTTTTCAATACTTATCATTGATGATTTTTTAAATATTTATGATATATAGTAAAATATTTTTAAAAACTCAGTCCCGCTTTTTGCACACGCTTTATTTCATGGTTGACATAGGAAACACATTTCCTCAATGCATTCTCTTGTAAATACCCCCAGTGGATGTTAAGTTGCCTATATTTCCCTTTACTACCCTTGCAAGTTCTTAACCACAAACTTACTTCCTAAGTAGTCCTATTTACACCTTGTGTGCTTTGATCGTATTGTTTATCTCTGTCAAACTTTACCTTCAAAGTAATCTTTATATCCTAGAGAATGCACATTTTGAACTTCTGAATAGTTTAAAAGGTTTTTCTAAATTGCTTTTGTGTGCTGATTGGGTATACTTAAGTGTCTTTTTTCGTATCAATTGTTGGTTCTCGAGTATTAAACCAAATTTGATCGCCTGGCTAATGAAAACATTGCTAGTCTCAAGATTGCCAATTTAGTTTCTAGACCAAATATGGTTGATTTTGAAGTAGAGGTTCAATAGTGAAAAAGGCTAGCGTGGGAAACTGATGTGGAATTCAACTGTACATAGAGTTCTAACACTATTGTTGTTCTCATATTGTAAAGAAAAACTACTATATGGCCCATTGAACTAATGGACGATTAATTGTCCTGTCTTGGCTAAACAAGAAGCTCTTGTAAGTTGTAACCACTTTTAGGACGTTAGTCATCCATTAGTTCAATGGGCCATATATTGGGTTTTCTTTACATTACGAGAACATCAGCGTGCTTGGGATTCTTTCCCATAAGACCCAGATTATGTGCTGCGTAGCTTTTCTTTTCCTACAATTTTCATGTAGATTTATGACCCTAATATGCTTTTTTAGAATGGGATGGGGGTGGTAGGCATGCCCTTAGTTTTAATATCTCAATTCTCAACATACCTATTGCATTATCTTTTAAATTTACTGAGGATGTTAGTTGTGGCCTCTTAAATTCTATGTCATATAATTAACATTTAAAAGATCTATCCTAGCACTGCATAGTATTTGCATAGTATTAAACCCGAAATTTGTGATTTGCTAGATTTATTAAAAATACCTAACAATTTGGTGCTATTTTTAGGGTTGTTTGGAATTGATTCTGTTTCTTTTATAAAGGTAGAAGTAGAATCAAAATCAATTTTTCAGAAAGCTGGTCTCCCAGCTTCTAAAAACTGCATCTAAGAGCAATTTGGAGTACTTAGAAGTACTTCTTCACCTCCACCCAAACACTCGAATATCTATTTCTTCCCACAGAGGGAGCAGAATCAGTTTGAAGAAGTAGATCCAAACTCCCCCTTATATGTTAACTCCAACTAATATTTGTACCTAGGTTGACTTTGCTTGCTGGATGCTTTCCTCTATTTTTCTTTTGTGTTTTTAGGCACAACTTTTGATTTTAGATATTTACATGCATTTTCTCTTGGTAGTTTTAGAAGAAAACATACTTTCACACCTTACAATTCATTCCTCAATTGTCGTTTCCAATTTACTGTGACAATCAAGATGTTTTTTTATTCTAAATGCAGTTCAGCAAAGTAACCTTGAGTACCTTGTATTTTTTAGTCCTGCTATTAAGTATATATTTTTAAAAAATAGTTATATAGTGACCATATTTCATGAGCGGTAATGCCCTGTTTAAGGTTCCATGTCTCACCTTTTCTGGGATACCAAAAGAATACGTCCATCGTGACTAGCAATTTATAGCTTGCAAGAAGGCCATTTGAATGTAATGTTATATTTTGTGTCAGGTTGTGTTTTACAGTATATGTGATATTTGGTTGTGTTTGGGTTTATTAGCCAGTCTGACATTTTGTAGATCTGAATTGTTCTTTGAACTAAAGTTGTTCGATTATTAATTGCTCCTACTTTGAACGTGCACGAGGATTGATAAAATGGTTGATAGTTGTTTAGAGGAGAAAATGATATGCGCCCTATAATGATTTCCTTAGATGGAAATGAGAGATATATTTTGCAAGGATGAAAAAGGATTGTATGAAGTTAAATTAGGGACATAGAGCACCGATTCCTAGTTCCTACTAGCACAGACTTTTTAAGTTTCCTCTATTCTACTAATTTTGGTATGGACAGAAAAGGATAGTATGAAGTTAATTTAGCCATTTAGGGCCAGGCAGTATTAATTAATAATAGCACTGCTTTTCCCTTTTCTTTTCTGTTTCCTCCATTCTCACGTGGATAGTAAGTTCTCTGGTTTAAGGTGCACCATTGTCTAAAAATTAGAAAAATGCACTATCTGAATACACCCCATCATATATGTATATATAGATACAGACATTATTTACTGATTAATTGTTGCATGTTTTTTAATCATTGGTTTGTAGTGAACTTACAAAGGGAGGGAGGGGTGCACTGTTGCTTGCTATCTCCAGCCAGACAAGAGTGCTTGTTTCTATTGCAGCTAGTTTGAGTCATCAGTATGAGAGAGAACACTGGGTAGTACTTAGTCTGAACATCTCCATTGTCTTCCTACATGTTCTTCATTTTGTTGCAGTTGGATTGATGGTCATTTTCTCTTATTTGCAAAAACAAGATCAGCTAGTTGTGAACAACTCTTACAATCACTATTAAAAAAGTGGTCGATTCACCAACTAAGTTTTCTTACTTTGAGAGCTTGGAGCATATTTTACTGCTTTAACTTGTCCTCTTTTTCATTCAAGACAATTCCATCCATTATGGACTGCTTACTCGAGGTGAGACCCTAAATTATATGGTACAACCAGCTTAACCAAGGACTGTGCTTGAATATTTTTTTCGCCGCACGCATGCAAGTCCTCTTTGACCTCCTGCCCGAATGCTTTCTACTGTTTTGTGTCCCATTATTTCTTTTTTGTTGTTCTTTTTTTTTTATTTTTATAAAAAAATAAAAATACAAATGCTTTCTACTACTACGTATTTTTTTTACTATTCTTTTCTTTTTTTTAGAGCTTTTTCCTAAAATAATGTTAAATAAAAAAATATTTACCAAAATAAGGTTTAGTTAAAAGTATTTTCCAAAATACTGCTCCCCTAAACACTGGTTATAAGAACCACGTAACAACGTAAGAGCATCTTCAATGCTATAATGTCTACGGTGCACATGTGTCATGAGTGATAGCTACATAATTATTAGCAAATAAATTATTTCTCTCCTTATTTGAATGATTTTATATAATTTTAGTAAGTTTTTCCCTGCAATGTCAACAACAATGTCAACATTAGACGGTCTCTTTGACATTGTAGAGAATAACTTACCAAAACTGTATAAAATCATTCAAATAAGGAGAGAAATAATTTATTTACTAATATTTATGTGGTCATCTCTCATGCCACGTGTGCACCGTGCAAATTGTACCATTGAAGATGCTCTAATAAGCAGGCGAAAAGGAGATGGGATAGTGGACCCACCAAAACAAAAAATCTCTTTTTTAATTCAAATTGAAATAACTTTTATATTTGTATTCTGATTATTATAAAAAATATAACAAAATTCATAACTTTTTATTATCTTCCATATGACATCAATATCGAATATATAAAAATAAAAAAATAATTTAACACTTTAAAAAATATATGTTTTTGTATACTCTCTTCATATTTAAATGTTCACTACATTAGCTTTGGGTACAATGTTTTAGGATAAAATAGTAGGGGTAGTGAATAGTGTAGAAAAAGTAGGAGAGAGTGTAAAAGTATGAAAAAGAAGATAAAAAGTAGATAAAGTAAGAATAGTTGAGTACTTTATAAAGGGTAAACTTATCAAAAATTAAAGTGTAGGAAACTTTTAATATATCCCAAAAAGGAAAAGTGTAGGAAACTTTTAAATACGGAGGGAGTATATTTTATATTTATATTGGTATTCCGATTGTTACAAAAAATAATCAAACAAAAATTACCCTAAATAAGAGTAAAAACGTTTTGAAATTCCAAAATAGGACTATCATGTTTTTTATTCCCTAAATAGGAGCAATTCCAAACTTTGCAAAAATTTACTTCTATTCATGGAATAAAAAACATGATAGTACTATTTTGTAATCTTTCATAAGGCACTACTTTTGAATATATAAAAATCAAAAAATTATTTTTATTAATTTATGCAGTTTAGAATCATTTTTTCTCAATATCTTTTTTTTTTGTAAATGTTAAATCTTTTTTTATTTTATTTCGATTGTTACAAAAATCATCATTTTTTTATTGTTTTACTCTTTACGCAGTTTTATTCTAATCTATCACTCTTGATAAATTGTGTGCACAGTAAAAAACGATTCTAAACTGCATAAATTAATAAAACTAATATTTTAATTTTTATATATTCAAAATTAGTGTCTTATGAAACATTACAAAGAGTTATGAATTGTGATATATTTTTTAATAATCGGAATACTAATAAAAAATGTAAAACATATACAAAAACTTATATTTTTTAAAGTGTTAAATTAAATTTTTTTATATTCGATATTAATGTCATATGGAAGATAATAAAAAATTATGAATTTTAGTATATTTTTTGTAATAATCAGAATACAAATATAAAAGGTATTTCAATTTGAATTAAAAATGAGATTTCTTGTTTTGGTGGGTCCACTATGCCATCTCCCTTTCGCCCTATAAGCCGCCACTTCAAGTGGCGGTTCTTATAACCAGGATTTAGGGGAGCAGTATTTTGGGAAATACTTTTGGGGGTGTTTGGCAATTGGCTGTTGGCTGATTTTGTTGGCTGATTGGTAACAGCAGATTCTGTTGGCTGTTTTGATTAGCTGATAATATTAACTGTTTATAAAACAGTGTTTGGTTATATGGCTGTTTACAATTGGCTGATAAATTGTTAAATTTCTTTTAAGTACATCAAACAATTTGTTTTTTTACTAACTATTTTTATACTACGTATATGATCAGTACGTGCTTCACAAATCTTGCTAATATTATTAATAGAGCTACTTAATCCGTTTTTATTTAATAAAAGTAAAATTAAAATTTTTTCAACGCATGGTTTTACCAAACATGTCCTTTAACTAAATCTTATTTTGGTAAATATTTTTTATTTAACATTATTTTAGGGAAAAACTCCTTTTTTTATTGTTTGTTCTCCTTTTTTGTTTTTCTCTTTATCCAATCGACCAATCATACTTCTAACTTAAGTTTTTTAAATATATGTATTATAAAATATTTTTGGTGTTAAAGTTTTATTTTTCTATCTTTAATTTAAGATGAATATTTATTACTTTATTAAGACTATTTGTAATTTGAGAATGAAAGAACTATAAATTGTTTTTAATATAAAGTTATATATTTTTAGCACTGTATGTTTCATTATATGTGTACAAAATGAACATTTGAACACTTTAGAAAATTCAATTGATATTTTGAATTTTTCAATACTCATTTTGTAAGTTATGTATGCTCATTTGGTATTGATTTTATGCTCTTTTAAAATGTAATACAAATGCATACTTAAAAGTATCATATTCGATTCACATAAGAGTTATATTATATACATGGGACCAGATAATAATACTCATCTGCATGCTTCTGATACTCTGTAGAAGAGTCTTCATGTTCAATGAAAATATCTTTATACTCAACTAACAAAGCTTATGATTTTTATATTAATGCTCATTTGATAACTAATGTATGCTCATTTTAAAATGTTATATCAATGCATATTTGAAAGCTATCATATTACATTAGATTCGCGTAGGAGTTGATTATAGATATGAGAGTAGAGACCCATGGTACCCAATTGTATGTTATATCATAGGGGCATATTTTTATAACAATGCTCATTTTGAAATTATGTATACTCAATTTGCACTCATGTTATGCTCATGTTTAAAATGTCATATCAATGCATATTTCAGAATACAATATCACAGTAGATTCACATATCGAAGTTTATAGTAGTTGATTATAGATACAATTTAATAAGTTTTGTTGGGATAGTAGGACCAAACCCAAATACTGGCACAAAATATCTCTAAGAAGCCAAGATCCACACAAGCGTTCTAGTGGGTAGTTCAGTTCGGGTACGATCGCACGGCCCATGATGTACGGGCATTCCCGAACGGATTGGATGTCACACTTGGACCATTTTCCCTCTCACTGAAGGTTGGGCACGATGGATTGACCCAAACAAGTTGGCGGGAAACCTTACAAATTACAATTGACGGGAAGCACATTTAATGCAAGAAATATGAAAGATTTTATGGTTGTGGATCATCCACTCAAAGTCGGCCACGTCACCCTCCTCATGTGGGAGGACAATTTGGATCTTTTTTACTGCTCTGTATTAGATGATGAGTCCAAATTAATGTTTGAGTATGAGTTGGAATTGAAGTTGATTGCGGAGCATAAAATCATACTCGTATTTCCTATTTAAGAGTTTCAATTGAAGTCAAAATTGGGCTAATTGAGCCCGTCGTCTTTTATTTCGGCCTGATAGAATTCTAAATCAATGAGTTCTACAAATCTTGCCTATTGATTTAAATTTCTTGTGCAAATTTGGGCTAATTTTGATGGGTCAATGAAACCGATTTTCCAGACTCATGTGTTCGTGCGGCAATCAAATCGATACTGCAAGCTAGGGGTGGGCAATTCGGTTTACGGTTCGGTTTTCTTCGGTTTCGGTTCGGTTTCGGTTTATTCGGGTTGGGAGAATTTGTACCAAACTAAAACCATTTGTGTTTCGGTTCGGATTCGGTTCGGTTCCGGTTCGGTTCGGTTTGAAGTTCGGTTTACCAAAGTACAAAACATTATGTTTAATTTAGTTTGATTTGATACGTTTGCTTATGTTTATTATTTTATTTGATTAAGTTCTATATTTCGAATTAGAAAATGAAAGTTGATTAAGTCCATCTTATCTTTTTTTTTTTAATTTATTGATTATTTAAATAAAATGTAAAAGAAAATAAAAGATAGAAAAATAAATAATAAAATATTATAAATTGAAACTTCTAACATCTTTTTTATCACTACAAAAAATTCACTTCTTACAAAAAATAAGATAGTTGATTAGCATTTATAATATCACATAAAATATTCATAAAACCTAAAAGAGTCGGTGGTACAAATGTCATAATATTCACAATTTTATTCAAATGAATCATGTAAAAATATAAATGCAATTTGCTACTGTTATCGCCAAACATAATAAATACAAATATGTCGTATTAGCTAACTTTTTCACAATGATTGTATGTAATGTGTAAAAGTTAAAATGATATGAGTATATGCTTAAATATATGTATTTTCATGTCTAAATTATTTATTTATATCTTAAAAATGAAGAGTCATGAAGGTAAATACAAAGTGTGTGTGTGTGTGTTGTTCGGTTCAGTTTACGGTTTTCCATTTTAAAGCAAACCAAACCAAAGTACCAAAACATTTGGTTTGAAGAAATGTTTACCAAACAGTTTACTTAAGTAAACCTAAATCAAACCAAATCAAACCACCAATTTTAATAATATATGAAAGCTTTTTGAGTTTCTTTAGTTCGGTTCGGTTTTGTTCGGTTTTTATCGGTTTCGGTTCGGTTCGGTTCGGTTTAATACGGTTTGAAAGAAATAGTACCAAACTCAAACCAAATTGCATACGGTCCGGTTTCGGTTCGGTTTAGTTCGGTTTGGTACGGTTCGGTTCGGTTAAACCAAACCGTTATGCCCA